GCAAAAGCCTGGACGATCCTGGACCACGCCAAGATCTCCCGAAGCCATGAATATAATTTTAAGATTACACCGCGCAGAACCAGCAAATTCCAGGACCGCCTCAAGTAGGCCTTTCCGCTCCTGAGAGACAGCCAACAGAGATACCTATTCCAAGCGGTCCTCGACTTTGCAGGCTTTGTACCAGATATTTAGACTTGATTACACATAACGTCATAACCAAGAACTTTAGAATTATTTCTTCAATAGTGTGCGTTTGAGCGTTAAAATTTGGATATACCATATATCGCTCGACATCAGCAAAGCTTCTGGTCCCAAACTGATTCCTGTTATTTTGTTGAAGAGATGAGCAGTTCTTCCGCGCCTCTTTAAGATTTTTTACGAATCTGATACCTTTCCAGAGAATTGTAAATTTACTCATGTCCAGCCTGTCAAGGAGTTTCTAGAATGTCTCGAACGTCACGGTTTGATTCCAACACCAGAGGCCTCGAAGCTCGCGTCGCACTGTGGACTAAACTCATCCAGTCTCATGGTGAGGCTTATGTCATTGTCCTTGACATCATGAAAGCTTTCGATCAGCTATGACATGCTGCGCTCTTACACAAGCTGCCATCCTATGGCCTTCCAGAGAAGCTTTGCAAATGGGTCGATGACTTTCTCTCCAGCCGCAAGATATTCGTAATAATTGAAGGCCTCTACACTTCGTCTCATCTACATCTTAGCCGGAGACAGCACTTTACATGCAGGTGTTCAGTGTGACAAGCGGATCTCGATAAATGAGCTGGACTGGAAAAGACGAGCAGTGTTGGTCTCTGTGATGAGAGATACGGAAGTTATCATCGCTTGGGAACGTACTAACCTGGTGCAGTATTCTTTCAGAAAATCAGTACTGTATTTTGACCAGGAAGAAGCGCGATAGCACTCATCCGATTTCAATGGATGGCCGAGTTCTGCCAATTATTCATTCATTTCAGCTGGTCGATCACCGAGGACTTGATTTGGCTAGGACACATCTCGTCAATCGCAACAGCTGCTAGCTGGTAAAAGACTAAGTTATATAACGGACAGTCTCGGGACACTTTCGTAGTTCTCATCCATGGTGCAGCAGCGTGTTGAACCTGTCAAACGGATCCGCCATACTTCTGCCACCTATTCCAATTCTGTCGAACTTCGCACATGGATAACTGGCCGGTACGACCGCTCCTTCGTTCTTTGGGTGGCGAGATTGCGGAGCAGCCTTATGAGACCTTTCCAGTTCTGCTGACCTAAGACAGTTCAAAAATCGGCGCCTTTAGCAGTCGCTGTGCCCCGGTATTTAGGGTTTTTCAGACGCGACTGCTTCAGCAAAAGAATCTATCGACAGCGAAAAGACGCAACTGCCAACAATTATATCGATACGATCCTGCAACGATTGCTTTTTACTTGCCTGCACTAAATTCTTAATCGCTTAACACAAGGATCCGTGTGTCAAAATCAATATATCGTTCTTTTTTCTCGGAAGCCACTCCCTTGTTTGCTTCACAAAAGCGCCGCCACTGTGTAGGTGGATGCTATGTGTACAGCTAGTCGCAGAGGCCAAACAGAATGACCGCGCCTTTTTTCAGGAGCTGTTTTTTCATCTGATAATGGGAATTACCAGCGACTACGGCGGAAGGATAGAGAAAGATATATGTATGTACCACTAATGTTTGCATAATGTTCATGGTTTTGGCGAAATTTGAACTTAAAGATGACCGTTAGATAGACGTATAGGATGCGTAATTCGGGAGCGGTGCTGTTTTCACTATGCTTTCTCTGTTATCAAAAACGTCATTGTGATCGCGATCAAGTCTACATGAAACAACCTTTGGGGTTGCGTATCCAAGTGTGTTAGGGCACTAATTAACGTGTTCTTCCTGGAGATAGCCAATTAATGCTACATTCGCGCGTCCAAAAAAGTGTCCGAGATATGTTAAAATGGGACTTGGCCACAGCTGCTCTTCTATTCACTATAGATACATATATCGGGTTTTCCAATAGGAACTTGACAAATTTGAACTTTTACTGTGAACGCACCTTTGAATCAATTACCGAACTGTAAATGTCAAAACAGTCAGTAAACATTTTCATTACGCACGAACAACGCTTACAAATAATCAATATTTACTACCGAAATTCTGAGTCGGTGACTGCAACCTTAAGAGCGTTAACGCCAAATTTTGGCCGTAATTCTCGTCCCACTAGACAAGCAATCCATTCATTCCCGAACCAGTGAGACAATGGGTTGGTCGAAGTGCCGAGAATATTGCTGCCGTCGCAAACGAACAGAACTTTCCACGGCGTTCTCAAGATTTGGGCATCGCTTAAACCATACTATGGCGAATTTTGCGAAGAGATCTTGGACTGCACCCTTATAAGGTCAAGTTAACTCAAGAAGTAAAGCCGTTCCATCATACAAACCGACGTACGTTCTTGAATTAGTCTCTAGAAATGTTGCAAGAAAGTGACCAATTTCATCGCAAAATCATCTTCAATGGTGAGGCGCATCTTTGGCTGAACGGCTTCGTCAACAAACAGAATATGCATTATTGGACACGTGAAAACCCTGAAATGCTTCAGAAAGCACCACTTCCTCCACAAAAAAAAACTGTATGGTGTGGTCTTCATGCCGGTGCTGCCATTGGGCCATTTTTTTTTTGTTGATGAAAATCACGTTACCAGTCAACACAGATCGCTACAGAGACATGTTGCAACGTTATTTTTTTGGCTAGACATTAATCATACGTGGTTTCAATAAGACGGTGCCACAAGCCACAGGTGAAACAATTGAAATGTTGAGATCGTTTGATTTAACACCTCTACACCTTTTTGTTTGGCTACATTAAACCATTGGTCTATGACTCTATACCAACAAGCCGGCGTCGCTAGAGGAGCTCAGAACCAATATTGAACGAGAGTTTCTGTCGAAATGTGTGGCCGAGTCATCGAAAATTGGGTTCAACGAATCGATCGCAGCGATGTGCCTCTGGTGGACATATGCACGAGGTCGAATTCTATACTTCAATCCAATAAAGAAATCTTCGAGAAAGCTCAAATGGTTTGCGTTTTATTTAAAAAGAAAGTTGTCAAGTCCTTAATGGAAAATCCTTTACATTGGTAAGATTCGTAGGGATCATAGATGGCGCTATAGTCCCTTACATGTTTGCATATGCTGATATCAGCGGCGGCATCTGTGAGACACTAACCTTACCAATGCATATATGATAATAAATAAAAAAACAGCTGTGACAATTTGTTATAGATTACGCTACGTTTTCTCATTATTCACGAATTATTTTTTGGACGCGCGAATATAACATAAGGTTGGCTCTTTTCAGGTAAAATATATTAACAAATGGTTGCCAAAAGCAAAAGCACTAGCTTCTGGTTGCTTTCTCACTCGAACGCCTCCATATTGACATAATCTGCTATAATAGTGTGTATCCTTAAAATTTTACAACTTAATAAAATAAACAGTACTTTCTGTAGCCGTAAAAAGCCCTAGATGCGCATCTTACCTCTTTGGGGTTCTTAAGCGCAAGATTTGTCTTGACAGCAGAGTTGATTCTTCATTCTGTTCAGCTACTGCAGTCGGATTGTATGTATTTTTTAATAATAATAATAATAATAATAATAATAATAACGTCTTTATTGGATATCCCGGAGGGACATAAACAGCGAAGTTTAGCCAAGGCTACTCTTACATTTAACTGTTTATGTCGGTTACATCTGATGTTCAAAACATGGAAAAAAATATAAGAACAATGAAAAAAAGGACACATATATACCTAAGTATAAAATACAAATAGACACAATCTATATCTGTAGCAGAAATGCTAATTTAATCAATAGCGAGCAACATGCTTTTAGTATGTTTACGAAAACTTTCCAAAGACATCAGTTTAATACTGTTGTCCAACTGATTATAAAATAGTGCTGTATTATATGTAAATCCTCGTTGGAATAATGCAGAAGTGTGTGGGGTGGTTCTGATACTATAACGATTCCTAACAGCCCTGTCATGCACTTCGTAATTAAATCTTAACTTAGCTCTTAGATATGCAGGCTTTGATGACAATATTATTTTATGAATTAAAACTAAGAATTTATGTTTAACCAAACTTCCTAACCTAAGCCAGTTCAATTCTCTATATTTATCACTTACGTGATCGTATTTACGCAACCCATAAATAAAGCGAACACAGTTATTTTGGATGATTTGAAGACGATTTTTGGTCAATTGATCCAAACATGGATAATAAACGACATCACAGTAACTTGGAATAAAGAGCCCTAGAACACAGGTAAGTTTTTTTCATCAAATGTATATGTCTCCTTCTTTATGGGCCTGTACACATATTTTTTGATATTTTTGACCACTGACGTATAAAATCTCAGCTTTTTTTGTTAATAACTTTTATCGTTTATCTAAATTTGGCAAACTTTTTGTTATTGTATGGTTTTCAGTACGAGTCTTTGGTTCAATCAGTTGTAACAGTAATTTAATTTGATTTGTCTGATTATTTTGAGCTGAAAAATAGCCCATGTTTACCAAAAAATGAACTAGTGGACATAATATTAACATACTAACAAAATGCAGCCGCAGCATGCAGGTTGTATGCAGAAACGTTTCCTTTAAGAAATCATGCGGCCCCACGGATGTTTGTAAATTTAGTTATTAGACTTCGTGACACAGGGTACTTAACCCTTAACCACAGACATCCGGTCAAAATGACCGGCTGCAAATTTCAACTGCTGAAATTCATCGCATCCCCATCACTATCGCTTATGAGCTTCTACATACCTTCCTAACACTTAGTTTGATGCTATTAGCCGGTGGATGGAGACTGGATTACTTGAAGCAAGCGAAATATCGTAGTTCAAAGTTCGCAACCGGTAAAAAATACCGGAGGTCTGTATAAACGTAATAATTTGGATATGTTGAATTATTATTTTTCTGATATTTTTAACCTTATAAATTGAGTATGGACTCTAATGCTGGGCCCTCAAAGAGAGTAAAATATGGAGATGCTGATTTTGAAGCTGCTTTACTGAAATGGGCAGAGGAAGTCGATTCTGGTGGAAGCGATATCAAATCAGATGGCGACTATATAGTATCGGACATTGACACTGAGTCGGAGGTTGAATTCGACGAAGAGGACAACGAAAATCTAGGTGAAATCAGTCATACCGAGATAATCCAGAAATAAACCGCTATCATTTTGGAAAACAGTTAGCAATGCTTTTCGTAACTCCACATATGCAACGCCGATATCAAAATGTGCGTATTGGTCGTGAAATTAAAATATCTATAAGACGCATACTACAATTGGAACAAGAAGAACATCCTATGGAAGGTGATAAACTGAATACAAGAACAACTTGTAGACGTTGTCCCTCGAAGAAGGAGAGAAAAATATGTTTGTATAATCTGTAAATCTCCAATATGCATGGAATTTGCAAAGAATTTTCCATCTAAATATGCTAATAGTTTACCCTTTGCAGATATTTTTATATAGAATGTTTTTAGCTTTGCTTTGATGTTATTTTATTCAGAATAGTTTATTTTAATTATTTATGTACGAAAAAGTGTTGTATACGTTTTTATTTTATTTTTATTTATGACTCTGTTACACTTGAACAAAAATATAACAATAAAATATTTTTTTCCATACTCTACTCTTATTTCATTCAAATATAGTTAAAACTACATCAAATGCTAATTACAAAGATCTAAGAGTTGATCCGCATGCTGCAAAAAAAAAATAAGATTTTGTTGTTCATGTATACTCAAAAAAAGACGACCGGTCAAAATGACCGGTAGTCTGTGGTTAAGTCCTACAAAAGGGGCCTCTGCAGCTAAGGGTTAAAAGAACAACGAGGTGGTCACGCTGGAAGACGTGCTCGACTGGAAATGTTGCAAATTGAGGAAGACATTTTAGAAATGGTCGAAGATGACCCAACAATGAATAATAGAGACATAGCAGCTCAAGTTGAAGTTTCTCATAGTAAAGTGTGGAAGACACAGTCCGACAGGAACGGTATTATCCTTATCATTATCAACGGGTACAAGCATTAAAACCTGAAGATCATCCTAGAAGGATTGCATTTTGCCGGAGGCTTTTAGAACAGTTCGGCAGAAATGAAAATTTTACGAAATTAATTTTTTTTTACAGACGAGGCCACTTTTACACGAAATGGAGCGCACAATTTCAACCACCATCATGTTTGGACAGTAGAAAATCCGCATTTTCAACATAGATTTTCATTAAATGTTTGGGCTGGCGTAGCAAATAGCATGCTTACCGGACCCTACTTTATATTTTAGATTCTCTTCGACACAATCTGCCACAATTATTAGAAGATGTTCCTCTAAATGTGAGACAGAATATGTGGTTCCTACATGATGAAGCTCCACCACATTCTGGAAGAGAAGTTCATGAACATCTAAGTAATGAGTTTCCGAATGGATTGATAATGCGCAATGGACCCATTTCTTGGCCTGCTCGCTCCCCGTATTTAACGCCTTACGATTTTTTATGTGGGGCTATTTGAAAGAGTTGATGCATCATTAGCCGGAGTAAATACTCTGGAAGAACTTAAGCAGCGCACTGAAAATGCTGGTGATTTAATTTGTGGACATCAGCATCTTATTTTCGAAGTTTGTAAAGAGTCGTCGATTCGTTGAGCAAGATTTCACGTCAATCCTACACATGCGGACAATTATGAACAGCTTTTGTAAAACGCTATCCATTTAACTTAATAATGATTTTCGTTTAAATATTTATCAATAATGTAAACTAGCTCTCTTATTATGCAACTTCATATACGTGAATTTTGCTATATCAACTCATTTTGACGAGCTGCTAAAATAAATGACTCAATTTTACTTCTTAAGAGGAAGCCGGGGGGAAGCATATGCCCCTTGCTCCCTTAATGGGAACCCATACGAGCCGTACTGATTGTCTGAATTTTGTACAAATCTTTTCAATTTTGCTTCTTTACGTATTGTATGTGTTTAAACGACAGCTGTAAGGGAAGAAAATATCACTTACAAACACATGACGAGAATCAGTCAACCGTTGATGTACACAAAACCTCTGTAGCATTACCCGCAGGGTAGAGGTATTATTTCAAAATATGGTGAAGGTGTGCGTTGATGACGGATTCACCATTTTCTGTGTGCTATCTGATTTAAGGTGAATGTGCCTACTATGTTTCTGTATAGACAAGCTTTAAGGTATAAGTTAATCCCGACAGAGCTTTACGGTGAGTTTGTCGACAGGTATGCACAACTGCCAATGATTTTTGTGGATAACCAACACAGAAAACAAAATAATCTAGATTATACAGCAAATGAAATTACAAAAACCTGTATTATTACTCTAAGGTACTATGAGTCTCTCATTAGTACGCGCTCGAGAGTTACAGCTACACTTACAACAACTAGCTGCATCTCATAAAAGCTTTATCAAAAACGAGTCTCGCGATATCTGTATTCTCACTGCTGAACTGTACACGTCGTATCGAGTTTTCATTTCGCGGCCTAGAGGACTTCAGCGAGAATCGATGCAGCTTTTACAGTGAAAGCAATGGAAAGTGTGTCTTCTCACTCATAGGTGGCATCGCTTTCCAGGATATTCAGTACGGTGCGGTCTCTGATGGAAAAAGGAAGAGCCAGACAGTTGTTATCAATAATTTATTTCCTTTTGTTTTGATGTGACACGTTCTTTGTCATGCGGATACTTAGATACGAAAGAGAATCTGTAAACACGTTTTCTTTAAGTTTTATAAGACTAGATTGATGGTTTGACGATATGACGAATGTCTGATCAGACATCAATATGTTCTTTCCGGAAGCAGGATGATTTGTGCGAAGTGCACTCTTTTTTTGACCGCGTCTCTTCTTACCTTACCAAATTCTAATGTCATAAATGCCTATGTTCTCTATTCACCTAGTATTTTTGGATCTTACGAAGAGAATGGAAGAGAGGGAAGTCAGATATATTGTTCAGTCACATAATTTAGTGAGGGTTTACACTCTATCTTCAGAATGATGAAATAATTTTTGTAGTAAAGCGTAAGTGATGGAAGTGCCTTAACAATAGGCCTTTGCTAATTCTAATTTTAATTCTTCTACATGCTACGTCATTCGACGGATGATAGATGAATATACACACAGTGCCTAACCCCTACTCATTCTTTGATCGGTTAAATTGGGTCATGAAACAGCCTTGGTGCATAGGGGAGGGGGGCGATTGGCATTTCAGTCAGCTCGCCTTCTTGGGAATAAAACGACATGTTCTTTACCTTTTTCGATTTTATTTCCAGGAAGTGTCCAATTGAATCACGAAGATTTTCCGTTTTCTTCAAATATATTACGCGCATTAGAGGATTTTTCGCTTTTGCATACGCCAAAATAAAAGCCTACGAAGCGGGAATGGAACGTAGTTTTTTAAAATAATCTACAGCGTGAAATTCAAGTTTTTTTAGGCTTTATAAATACCTTTAATACCTTTTTTTAACAAAACCTATTTACCCACCTTGTCATTAAAAAAATGTAGGATGTGCCTTTAGTAGGCCCTCATGAATATAAGGGGGGGGGGTGACAGGGGGTCAAAGAATTCAAAATCTATTTCACTTTTCTAATTTTTCTGACCAATAGAGATTCCAAACAACTTCCTGATTGATTAACCTAATCTGAAAAACCTTTTTACTATAAAATTTTAGAAAAGATATTATTACCGGTGCACCTCAATTTTTTTTTATCTAAAAGTTATTTAATAATAATACTAATAATATCTACTATCCTCATCAAACAAAGTTTACAATCAAACAAAAAAGCCTTAAGAGGATAAAGGGCTACTTCAGCTTACCCCTTAAAGAAGCAGCTGCTAGAGCCAAAAAAAAAACAATTCTATAGTAAGACAAGTGGCTATTCAGACATTGATAATTAATAATGTTTTAAACTTAAGAAATATATACTCGTATATATATATATGTTCCCATCCAAAGTCACGCGCTGCATCCTTTCAGATGAAAAAGAATTTATTAATGCATAGACTGGCTGCTCTAATCCAATATATTTCAAAATAGCCACTAGTATCTCATGATTAATCATGTCAAATGCTTCTGTGTAGTCCAATAACACCAAGACAGTAGCATTTCCCGCATCCTGTTCTCTGATGACATCATCCACTAGATCTGTTAGTGTTCTGTTCTAAACCCTGACTGTCTAGGGGGGACGATATTGTTGGCAAAAACGTAGTTAGCAACTTGTATATGTATTTGAAACACCACTTCAGAAAAATGAAAAAATAATGGAATTGAATGTTTCTTTCTAAAAAAAACATCTAAAAGTAGTGGAATAATAGATTTTTAATTAGGTTAAAACGATATCACTCCCTCACAAATCATGAAAAAATTCATGAAGTAGATCTACCTACTAAAGACACATCATATATATTGTTTTCATCACAACGTGAGTTAATAGTTTTTGTATGAAAACTTTGTTTTTAAAGCATAAGAAAATGAAGTTCCCCACAAAAATTTTTGAAAAAATTGTCACATGCGCACTTCGGAAACCTTCAATTGCGGCAAGCAAAATTGAAAAATCTTCTAATGCGGCTGAGATGTTTGAAAAAAAAACGAAAAATCCTCCCAATTGAATAAAACAGCTTCTTAAGCACCTAGGTAAATCAAACTAAATGAAAGGGAGTTCGACCCTGACCAAAATTGCCTTGGTTGATATCGAGCGTAACTCTACATTTTCGATCAATTTAAGTAGTGAAAAACAACCAAAAATTTCTGCAAGATCATCAGTGCAACAATTCAAGCCCATACCGAAACATTGTGAGTAATTGCATCTCGATTACATAATAAATAGGAACAGAATTCGAAGTACTTCCATCGCATAGCTACCTTAGTGTGCTAGCACGAAAAATTCCTAAACAAACATTTTCGGATAGACAGATCCGTATCTAGAAATGATACGGCATCCGCCTGGGAAAAATCTCACAAAATCATGATGCCATCTAATAACCAAGCTTCATCTTACAATGTCACAACAGCTCAATCCTACTCAAACGTATTATCACAGAATACAATTAGATACCCGAGCAAGGATCAAGCAATCATACTCAATTCCGCAAATGGAGTGAAACTGCAGGACTATCTGCTGAAAATCGGCCCGATAGTCAATCCGAAAAAT